TCTACATCTTGTGGTAGCAATTACCATCTATAATTATGCATGGTATAAAGAAGTACCCCTTTTACTGTTCCTGAAAGACCGGTTATGATTTCTTAGAATATCATACCCTAACCAAAAAAAATATGAAAAAAAATATTTATAGTGTAGTGAGATTCATGGCAGATATGATTGGAGATGGGTGGTTGTCATGGACCCAAATCATATTTTTTAAATAATTACTCAAAAACATTAGATTGAAGTGACTAAAGTCTAAGCAGGTGCCTTCTTTCTTTTGGCCCTTTTATCTCAATATTGTCACCACTGCCAGTTTTGTGGCTGTTTAGAATTTTAATGTTATTCAATGTTCCTTCAGAAATGCTAGCATACAAACCATCTGCTTTCTTCATGGAATATGAAAGCTTTGGGTTCAGGTCCCTTCTTAATCAAGTACTTCATCAAGGATAAGCCCTGATGGCATTAGCATAAATTTCTCCCAACAGCACTTAAAAATGAAACAAGAATGAAGATTTTCAGTAATCTGAATAAACTTTCTAAATGTTTAGTTATTTAAATAAGAGCTTATACAAATTCTCAAGAAATTTTCCCGTTGTTCAAGTGTTTACAATGTTTCAAGCATTGGCACACTACCCAGTGCAATTGTCAAGCATAGGCTCTTTCTATTTTAGATTGTTAGTGAAGGAGTAAAGAGCCTCTGCTGGGAATGAATCAATAGACCTTGAATTTATTATCTGAAGACGGGTGCACTACATGCAGTGGAGAATATATTCAAAAATATATCTAGCCACAGAGAGTTCAGAATCCTTTCCATTTCAACAAATATTTTCTGAAGTTGAACAAGATAACAATGTAAACATACTGTACGTTCCATCAGTAGAACAAGAACTGATTATGAAAGAATGTCTCTTATAAGAATGTTACAATAAGTGGTATCTTGTATATGGGATTGAGTGATATGTATGAAACAAAAGCCTAAAATAAAATGGTTTCACTCTCTATTTATTCTTTGCAAAAGAGCAAAGGTAACAAAACAATTGCAACCATTTCCAAGCATAAATTAAACTCTGTCTACCATCAAGTAATGCTGTTATAAAACTGATTACCAATACTGCATAATCAATGCAAGTAGAGTTGAACTATTTAATTTTTTCTCCTCCCCCCCCCTTTCACATTTCTCTTTATCGTTCCACAAAATTATTATTTTATCTTGGAGCAATGGGTTCATAGGCCCTGTCACTTCAATGGATTACATGACTGTCTTAAATGTCAATGGATAATAATTATTCCATAAAGAACATGATAAATATTATAGGTTTAAACCCACTGTGGCATGCTATTAATATTTTTAAATCACAGGCACATTAACAGAGACAATGAGAGTAATAAATTCCCAAGGAAGGCTGAATGTGCTGTCTCCAACTTTTTTCCTAACTCTTAAACTTGTGAAAGGTCAAAGAAATGGCCCTGGGTTCAGCATTAAAACCAAGGATGAGAAAGTGAGGTTATCAAAATGTCAAATTACATATGACATGGAAATTCCAAAATTGGAATTCTAATCTTATTTTATGAACAGCTTTTAACATATCCTATGTAGGAATCTCCAATACCTCATACAACTTTATCTTCTTTTCCTCCAGGTTTATTTGTTTTACATGGCACTTCAAGGGTCAATGATGTTGGTATAACTAGCCTGGTCTCTAATTTGGACACCCTATAATGATTTGCCTATCTATGAGACCTAAGACTAATAGGAACATGGCATCTGCAACAAAGTTAATCACCATAATTTAAAATACAGAAATTTGGAGGAATTTCTGCAATTTCTTATTTTCAAGTAGAGAGATGAGAAAGTAAAACCCAAGAAATCATTCAGAAAAAGTATTTCATCAAAGAAAACTGGCTCATCTTTAGAAAATTTGATTTAATTTAGTATGCTTTAATTTAGTATGCTTGTCATTCATCAAAGCCTGTGCTTACTGAAAAAAAGTATCTGTCTTCAAAGAATAGCTACCCATTAAATTCCTATAATTCACAAAGCAATTTTTTTTAAAAACCCTCTGGATACCACTCAAGTTGTATACAGCAGAAATATTTCACACTAAAGAGAAGAATTGTAGTGCTTTCTTTCTGCATTTATTTTAAGCTGAGAAAACAGCTAGCTTCTTGGATTCAATGGGAAATGCAGAATTTTGCCATTTCTCTTTTGAACTGATAAGCAAGCAAGCCTAGCTTTCTTAACATGGGTTGTCATTCTTTTAATAAATCTATGAATCATAAAGTGAATGTTTTTTCTCTTTTCAGTGCCAACAAAGAGCAAATGGGAAAGTGTTATAGAGAAAGGGTTTCCTTCTTTTTATTAAATATAAATCATTGGGCATCCTCCAGATACATACTGTTCAATTTCTATACAAATGTGCCATTAACAAAAATTCTGGAAGTCTAACAAATATAAATAAATAAATACTAAAAGAAGATGTGATTGTGTTCTTTAAAAAGGATGCTTATGTGAAAGGAAATATAGATGACTTCTTGGAATAAGGAACAGAAAGGATTGTAAGGAAGGACTTTAATTGCAAGATGAGTTCAACTACCTGAAGCAACAATAGGCTTCCCTTTGCTAGAGATGTTTAAATAAAGACTGGATGGCCATTGATCAAAACTGCTGTTAATTCATTCTGCATTACAGATTCCATTTACCTTTGAGCAGGAGATGGCTTCTAAGGTTACTTCTAATAGAATCGGAATATAACATTTGGAGGATCTTAAAGATCATCTATTCCAACCTCCTGACTAATGCAATGATTACATTGCCCCTAACAGATGGCCATCGAGCCTTTGTTTAAACATGTTCAGCCCAAGAAAATCCATGTCTAGAAGCAGACTGTTCCACTGCTGAATGACACTATTAGGAATTTTTTTCTATGTCTAAATGAGATCGGTTGCCTTGTAATTTCTTGTCCTGTCTTCTGGAGCAGTTCTACTCTGTCAGGTTGAACATTTCATTAGCAAATCTAACCCATGTTGCAATTTAGCACAGACATTGTTTTGTGAACTAAGTTTGCAGTACAGCCACTTTAAGTTACCTATAATTAAGGATGAGTTACTTTTGCCTCCCAAAGGAATGTGATAAAAGCAGCATGGTACACATCAAAAGAAGCATTGATACAGATAAATAAAGGGCCCTAGAATGTATGCTTATTATCCCCGGCCTTTTGCTAGAGGTCAAGAATCATAAAAACACTAAGGAGTAAATTTGTACTACAAATGTGAGTAAATCTGGATTATAAATTTTATAGAGTAGGGTAATAAAAATCTCAGCCATCTCTGCAGTTTCTTTTTTCCAATGAAAGGTCTGGCTGAAGAAAGACTTTTCATATGATAATTGGCACATTTAGAAGGTGATTTAAAAGTAATTATTAGAGTTCAATTTTAAACATAGTATATCTCAACATATGGCTATTCAGCCAGTTGGAATGGGACAATTCATCACAACCAACTTACCAAAGACAACTCACCACAGCCCACTCACCGCAGGACAACTCACAATGGGCAACTCGCTGTGGGACAACTTGCCACGTGACAATTTAACACTTCGATTTAATTATTTAAAATAAATTTTAAAAAATATTTTTAATTTTTGTCATTCACATTTCATTCTGTCCTCCTTTTGCATCCTTTCTTTAATGCTTCTATTCCACTATTTCTTTGATATTAGCATAACTTTTGTCCTGCAGAGAGTTGTCCCACATCAAGTTGATTGTGGCGAATTGTCCTGCAGTGAGTTGTCTGTGAGTTGGCCACAGCAAGTTGGCCATGGGGAATTTTCATAGGCCCTCAGCCAGTTGTTCTTCAGATATTACCACCAAGTGTTGGATTCTGTCCTCCATTAGTGTGCTTTTCTGTTTAAACCAGACTTGGACTGAATACCCCTTAAGCAGAATGCCCTACCATTTTACATATCATCACCTGGAGAATGCTCAAACCTAGTGGATGTGTCTAAATCATGTTTCTCACCTGTGGCTATGAAAATCTACTGGCTGGGGAATCTTGAAGCCTACACATCTTCAAGCTACTGAGGTTGAATAACTGGTCTAGTTCTATAATTCACTCCTTTATCACTACTGCTAGAAAAGCACATTCTTTTTAGCAAGAATTATGATTAGCTTCTTAAGGAGTGAGCAAGAATATTTGTTATCACTTGCAGTATGTAGCCAAAGAATTTCTTTCTTTTCATTTTTTTAAATAAAAAAGTTGTCCCATGTGCTGACTCAGAAGATGGGAGGTTTTGCTTCTCTTCTAAAGAGAAACATCATCACCTATCTCATAGGGGGGAAAAGCAACATACCGTATTCCTCTTTGAACTTTTAGATAGACTTTGAATACTCATAGCATACACAGCTTCTTGTTTGTCCTTGTCATTCTTTGGGAAATACAATCCCTGACCATTTCTAGGGATTGCTACTGGTAAGCATAAGGCTTTCTCCCCTCAAATTAAAAAAAAGTAAGGCAACTATCTTCCTTTCCCCCCCCCCCTTCCTTTTCTTTAACCACTCACCACCTGCAATAGCTTGGTAAGGGATCGATTCTTATTCAGTTTTCAGCCGCAAGATGATCAACACAACTCAATTTACCTCTCAGCAAGAGTCCCAAAAGTGATTTTTTGAGAGACAACTGAAAAAGTACCTTTGGGACAACAATGACCTGGATGACTGAGAATCTCCATAGATTCTCAGCAAGAGTTTTGATAGGAACTACATGGTAAAGTCAGACTTAAAGGCGTATAAGATTGCAGGATTCAGGAAGCAACACATGACAAAGCATGTTTCTATTTCAAAAATCTCAAGTTAAGTGTTTGGCATTTCCTCATAGAATTGTGCAAGTCCTTTGCTTCTAGTTTTTATAATCCTGAGATAGAAAGTGTGCAGCCAGCCAACTGTTGCTGAGCTATAATTTCCAGCAACTATGGGCAACATCTGGTGGATAATGTTCCATTCACCCGAGGAATGGCTAAGTTCAATGTCCAGACTCTGCACAAGGCAGCTTCTTTTGATCCAGTGAACTGGCAAGTATGAGATTACATCGTCTGGTTGCAATCTTATGCATATTTATCTATAAATAAGGTCCACTGAATACATTGGAAACAGTTTGGATTAAATATACAAAGCATTTTACAACATTCTATTACACTTGGATAATGATATATTTATTTATTTTCCTGCACAATAACTTCATAGTCCTTGGGAAAAGTCAACCGTCTTTCATCTTATCAGGTGTGTTTTATTGCCATCTGGTTACACAGTAATTTCAGCCTAAGCTTTACAACAAATCATATGATGGAATATCAACTCACCAGCGGTTGTATAATTGGGCAAATAAGAAATTGTCTATTAGTACAATCATAGGATAAAGCAGTGAGTAGCAGCAAAGGAAAGGGAGTTAGAAAGGTAACATTTGAAGGTAAGGAAAAAATCTGGAGAATTTCAACTTTAAAAAAAAGGTTTATAAAAGTATATCCTTAACTAAATTTAAAGTAAGAAAAACAATTAGAAGGAATGGAAGGAAAGGTGGTCTTTTCAAGTTCTTTCTAATGGACTTCTAACATTACAATTATCTGTTGGGATACTTCCTAACTAGATGTGTTCTTTTAGGAAAAAGCAATTTTTTTTCTTCTTCAGGTGTCCTTGATTTTATTATGGTGGCCATCCATCATTCCCTAATATTTGCAGAAAGAATAGTTTTTAAAAAACAGAAGATGAGAAAATGAATATGTGAAGATGCTTAAACCTTTTAAACTGTAAAGAGGGGGTACATTTTAATATAGGTGAGGCTGAACACAATTTCAGTTCAGAATAAAATTATTGGTCATGAATTAAGATTTCTAAATTTTGTGGAAAATTTCCATGGGGAAATGGGCATTTTTCTTCTTTTCTGGTCTTTTGAATGTAAGAATAGAACTCAGGAAGGAGAGAAAATCAAATTTTACTTGCCTTTTCCTTACATAAAATGAACAACCAAAAGAATATGACATATGCCAAGAATATTTTGTTTACTATTGTGGAATGAAGATGAGCTGCTCCAAGGAATGTGACAAGAAGGAGAAGCCTATTTTGTCTTTTTCTATAGAAGCAATCTTAAAAAATCCATCTACTGAGACTTGCCTCCACAATACGGTGACCTGCAATAGCCAACCTGAAGTGGCTCAAAAGTTCAGTTCTAAGCCACTTTTGGACAGGTATAAAGGTAGGAAATTTGTTCTAGTTTAAGAAACATATGAACATTCTTATCCCTTTGCATGATATTCAAGTTGATTTTAAAAAATACTTGCAGTGTGTTGAATTCATATTTTAGCATGATTGTTAATATTTCACAACATCTAGCTTCTATGGATATTTTGAATTTGCTTTATGGTACATTAGGAATATGACATACAACATTTTTGGCACAATAGCATGGAATTGAAGCTTATTTTCCAGATAATAAAATGGTACCATAAATTGCCAGATTTGCTTTCCTAGTTTTCTTTTACATTTTAATATATAAATAAAAATATTTATGTATGTATTCATTGTTATGAGTTTGTGTGTGTGCTTTAAAGTAGGGCAAAATTAAAAGCTTTTCATTTATGTGCTTTTTATTTTTAAGGACAGTTTGGTATCATATTTTTCTAGACTAAATTTGAACAAGTTGGATTAAGAATATCTTCTTTAAAATGTTATGTTCTAATGTCATACCCAGAGCTTTAAACATATTAGTTTGTTGCCTTATAAATCCCTAAGGAATATCTGATAGGTTTATGGAAGAAATGTTATTGAATTAGTATTAATGGGGGGAAAATCTAATTATATAGATCTGATAAGGACAAAGTACATTGTCTGAAAAGGCCAGACTTTTCTTTAAGTAATATGGGAACCCTACAAAATGAAGCAACTACTTAGCAGATAATACAAAAAATGCAGTTATATTGAAATACTTCTCCAGTACATGGCTGTCCAGCTTTTTCTTGATGTCCACCACCTTCCTAGGCAATTGGTTTCCTGGTTATATTCTTCCTGAAGCTTAAGTCCCTAACTTCTGGGACAATCGAGAATAGATGTTGATATTCTTCAGCTGACATCTCTTTAGGAATTTCAAGAGTGCCATCATGTACTTCCCCTATATTATCCTAAGCAAAGCATGGTTAGTTTCCACATGATTAAACATGAAGCAGTAGAAAACAGGAGGGGATGAAGTCTGACAGTGTATCTTCTCGTTATGGGCTGATTTGAAATCTGAAAGTTTAAACCACTTCATGTCATGTGGAAATTGCACTAGCGTTAGTATATTGAAGAGCCCATAGCTAACAGGCATAAATAGAGAAGCAGTTGCACATGCTTTAAGAGATGATGTATAAAAATTGTAACAGATACTAAAATGAAAAGTCTGTACTAATCTGAAGTTATACTTGAATCTGCTGTGCTAGTTCTGAAACAACACTTCATGTGCACAAAGCATTAGTCTACACTGCTGGTTAAACAAGCTATGAAATGCCAATTTTATTATGAAAGTAAATCTGAGCCCCCAAACACCCAATTTGCTGTATAAAAGCTTTATACACTGTTAAGGCAACATTACCTTCATGCAAAATGTGCATTGTTATAGATACAGTTGGGAATGGGAAAAAGACAAAAAATCTCTTCCTAACAGATGCATTATGTGGTCATGATAATTCCTCATTCCAATATTTTAGAAAGATGTCATTTGGAGAAGCGCATTTCAAGCCCATTTTAAAATCACTTCAAATATTTTGAAAATAAAGTGTTTTACATTTTAAAGTGTTCTTCTGTTATTTAAATTAGGCTGCAATAGCTTCTTCCCCAACAACTCCCACCTCCCATGCTTTGAAATTGTTGAATGCAATTAGTGTCTAAAAATGGAAAAAATGTGTGAAATACACCATCCTCTTGTCTTTCCTAAGGCGGAGTACTGGGATCCTTCCTGATATATAGATTTCAGTGCCCAGAATTTTCAGCAATGGCCATGATGGCTGGGGATTTCTGAGAGGTTACATAGTTGAAGAATGTCCAAGGGAAAGAAAAAATCCATAGTCATTAATAAATACTCATGGGCAACTTTATGCAATAATTCATTTAATTTTCTATTCCTCATACACTTATCATCTTTTCTAAATACAAATCAAAAATGCTAGTATTGTTTAATTATTGATAACATCCATTGTCATAGGTATTTGAACAGTCCTAACTTAGTCCAGCATTTGGTGTCTCAAAGTAGCCTTCTGGATGCTAACAAGAAAATACCTAGGGACATGTCCCTTGCCAGCTATTATTCCTTTGTAACTGGTATATAAACGCACGCTTTCCCTAGCTTGGACAGGATTTTGAGAATCCAAGGCTAATAGATAGATAGATAGATCTATCCTCCATGAATTTATTGAACTTCCTTTTTAAAACTATCTGAGGTCCACCATTTCTCATGGGTAATGAATTCCAAAGGTTAATTAAGTATTGTGTTAAGAATTACTTGTTTCTACCTGTTCTAAATCTCATGTTTTATATCTAATATATGAATTGAAGTTTTAGATGATAATTTATGAACTATCAGAACAAAGTTCTCTTCAGCAATAATTTGAGTTCTGCTAGAAGCTTTACATCTATATTACTGTGAAATACGCATTTGGTTGCAGCCATTTGCAAGCTCGCTATCACATTACGAGACATGCTTGTCATTCATATTATGCAAGCCTACAGAAAATTTTCAATGTACATTTTAAAGTTGGAATATGTATAACAGCCTTTACATTTTTATGAGTGTATGCCTTACTTCTCTATCTCAAAAAGTCTACTATTATTCTTTACTGAATTACTGAAGAACGATGGTCCCACATTTTGCATCTGGCTATCAGTCTTTAATCTTTCTGTGAAATAATTTTGCCTAAAGTGAATTCAGCTATATTACTTATATTTTTTCCTCTGCATCTTACTGCATATGTAGATGCTGAAGCAGTCTGAACCAAACCTTGAAGCCATTTCTCAATCGATTATTAACATTTCCCTCAGTCTGCGGCAAGCTAAAATGTCACCATTACTGGAAGTCAAATGCTACATTTACCAAAGAAAATGTCATTCTGCCTCCAAAGACTTTTTCTCAACATCATCTTCCCACTCTTAAAACCTTGGTTTTTACCTATTCCATTTCCTTCTTTCCCTTAGAGAGGTTATTTTAAAGATTTCAATTTTCTTTTTTTTTCTTTTGTTTCTGATAGAAGGAAGCAACTAAAAATATTGAGATTGGCATCATCACAAATTAGAATTGACATTTTTATAGATTTTTTGTTCATACAAGACAAGCAGAAATTCAGGAGCCAAAGCAAGGAAAGGCTATTTTCTCCTAGGGAATGTACTTTTAAAATGAGCAGTCTTGTTAGATTCACTAAGAATCAATGGAAGCAGAACAGTTTTTTCTCTCTTCTGTCTAACCTTTTTATGGAGCAGTGGGGTGAGAGTGGGGAATAAACTTAAAATCAGAGACATTTGCAAGTATCATAATTACCAGCTTTCTTCAGATGAGGACTATGGTTCCCTTTGTGAATTGGATGGTTCAGACCTTTATATTGTAGTCAAAAATCACAGTCATGATTGCATAATCACGGTTATCATTTTTTATTTTTTAACACGTATGTACTCCATGTGTGTTATGTTTGCTGTTCGCTGTGGCATTGAAGAGGCAGCAGGTGAAACACAACTCTTTTTATTGCAAAGGCAAAACCGAAACTGAAAAAGCACATGCTCTACCCGTATTTATACATTCAGCTTAGGAGGCATCAACCAATCAGATCACAGTATTCTCCCACTTAAATGCATAACAAGTAGTCTCCAGACAGAAAGTCTGGCTTGTTGACCACATGGTCTGCTAACCATTACTACACAGTTTAAGCACCCAATTTCTTAATTTTAACTCAATACATTACAACGTGCTTCCCTTTTTTTTTTTTTTTACAGACCAAATGCTGTACAGTGCTTGACCTTTGAATGCTGGGGCTGCACTCCCAAATACAATGGATAATGCCAGGATTTAATTATTGTTTAATTATATTTTTTTTAAAAAAACCTCTTGATTCTTCAGTTATATACAGTATTAAAAATTAAGAGGAATTTAATTAAAAATTATGGCTCATTAATACTTCAGGTGCTTTGATTTTGGAGGTTGGCTGAGAAAATTTAGGACTTGAAGTCCACACAACTTAAGGTGGTCAAGTTTGAAAATCGTTGATGTAAAGAGAACAGAAAATGTATCCACCCAGTTGTTGTTTTGAATGGCAAGAAAGCCATTGTTTGGTTGATAATAAAACCAGAATGAAAAATGTTCATTTTGACACTGACCCTTTATATTAATTTAAAGCTGTGGCTTTTTACTAAATTCAGAATGCTCTCAGGTTACTAAGGAAAGCTACAGCTGACAACGTTTTGCCTTATTTTTGCACAACCACCAAGAATTATTAGAATTAATTTTCCCAATGGCCCAATTGTTTCTGTGTACAAATGAACAGTGAAAGTAGGGCAGACCCACTTTTGTCTTAGCTCTAGTTTTTAAAAAGAGAACTAAGTAAACACATATATTTTATCCTGAACAACTGACCCAGAAGAGAGGTAGAATGAAAAATGTGTTACTTTGGACTGACATTTGTCTTCGCTGTATGAATAATGATACTTTCAGATTACATAGATTATTAAAACTGACTGAAATAATCAGTAATGATTGTCAAAAAGAAAAGAAAAGTTCCATTAGCCAGCCAAATGAAATGTCATTCTGTTTAATTATTATTACATTTATTTCCTTTCCTTCTTATTTCATTGCCAGACTACAAATTTGAAAAGGTCACATGCTTGCCTTGTATTCAGTTGTATTTGGATGTTCACAAGTTTGTAATTGCCTAAAAAGAGTCATATTTCAACCGTGGCTATTTCTTGGCTAATGTTTTTACAAAATTCTTATCACAGTTTTTTTTCTCTCACCTTTTCTCCCCTTGTTTCTTCTTGTTGAATGTTCCCTCTCTTCATGAGATCCAAGACTACTGGAATTTTCTTCCCATTGAAGAATAACAGAGTTGGAAGGGACCTTGGAGGTTTTCTAGTCCAACCCCCTGCTTAAGCAGAAGACCCTATACCAGTGATGGCGAACCTTTTAGAGATCAAGTGCCCAAACCGCAACCTAAAACCCATTTATTTATTGCAAAGTGCCAGGGC